TGTTAACTGTATTTTTATCGTTTACTTGATTATTCTGTACTCCCTGGGGATAGGCCGGCAGCCAGTGTTCTCCAGCCTCACTCCCAAGGGGCCCCCTGCCACTGCACGTTGCTGCTTCTGTATCAGAGGCAGCAGCGTGGGGTGCTAGGTGGGAGCTGGTCATCAGGGGAATCAGTTTTAAAACCAGCTCCCCATGCAGACTGGCTGCCTATTTCGTACTGCCCTGTGCTGCTGCTTCTGAAAATGAGGCAGCAGCGTAGGGAGGCAGCAGCCCCTCTCTGGTGGGGTGGGGGACTGTGCTCTCGGATCCAGTGAGAGCCAGAACTGAGCCAGGCTGCTGGCCAGCCCACTGGCGGCAAGGGGGAGGAGGAAATGCGCGTAGTCTATGGCATTAAGCTATAAGGCATTTGTGGATAATCGGTTCAATGACTACACTCAGGCTGCGTCTAGACTGGCAAGTTTTTCCACAAAAGCAACTGCTTTTGCGGAAAAACCTTGCCAGCTGTCTACACTGGCCACATGAATTTGCGCAAGAGCACTGATGATCTCATGTAAGATTGTCAGCGTTCTTGCGCAAATACTATGCTGCTCCCGCTCGGGAAAAAGCCCTCGTGGGCAAATGCTTTTGTGCAAGAGGGCCAGTGTAGACAATTAGCTCCGAAGTATTCTGCCACACCTCTATGGCCTTTTCTCAGCATCTGTGGATGCTTGGCCTCTGTGGCCATGTCCAGAATCCAGAGATGGCTTTTGCCTAAGGGCTGTAACAGTTACATGGGGCGGGAGGAGCTAAGAGACTAGAACCACACCAGGGCAAGCGGAGTGCCTCCCTGCCTGCCATCCAAAGCTGGGCTTGAAAGCTGTTGAGCTGCTCCAGGCCATTCCTGAGGAGTGGCTACCAGGAGGTACCAACTGATGGAGCGAGGCCTCCTGGGTAGGGGCTCCACGGGGAGCTACCGTGACATTGGCCCTTGCACAGCTATGCTCCTGCACCTTGCATCATGCTGCCGCCGAAACCATTCTCTTACCTCTCTGTTTGCAACAGGCCCAGATTCCATCCTGTCCCCATCTGGCAGCTGCTGGCTGAGATGCCCCTACAGAAAGCACTAGCAACAGCTTAATTTACTGACCAGAAAGATTCACAACAGAGACATTTTCTCTCCTGGCCTAAACCATCTCAAAACAGCAAAGGGGAAGTTGTTCATGACAGTCCTGCTATAGGTAGGCATCTGTCTCCATTCCAGGCTACTGGCTGAAGCTTTCCCTCTGGGCTAATCCATCGTATGAATTATTCTTTGCCAACTACTTAATTCAGAGCTAACTCTTCTCTTGAACCACTGTATTTATTTATTTAGGCACCTAAACTGATTGGATGTGCCTATAAATGCTGTAGGCTAGGCTACAGGACTACAGCTGCGTCTATACTTATACTGCAGCCTTCTTCTGCAAAATTTTATGCAAATGAACAGAGTAGAATATCGCCACCCTTCATTTGCATAGTTAATTAGACATTTTTGCACAAGAGGCTTTTGCGCAAAAAGGAGCTGTGTAGAAGGGTCCTTTTTGCGCAAGACCCCCCTCTTGTGCAAGCGCTGTTCTTTCTGAAAAAAACAAGGAAGAATGGCTCTTGCGCAAGAGGGGGTTTTTGCGCAAAAAGGACCCTTCTGCACAGCTCCTTTTTGTGCAAAAGCCTCGTACGCAAAAATGGCTGCTAATTAATTACGCAAATGAAGCGTGGCGATAATCTACTCTGTGCTTCATTTGCATAAGCTTTTGTGGAAAAAGGCTGCAGTATAGACGCAGCCTAAGAGTCTGCCCATTTCATGTAGCTGAGTAATCACTCGCTTGACAAGAAAGGGTGCTGACAAAACTTCAGGCCTGGTTGCAGGCAAAAGAAAACTTACATTCTAAGAGCACATCCTATCCTATCATGCACAGCTATAGATGGGGAATAACTGTCTATGTGGTGGCAGGAATGGCCTGAGGCTGGCTGCGGCAGCTGGCACCCCAGGCGGAAGGCGCGATTGGCGTCCCTGCCTGCACGGCCGTCAGTGCGTCACCCGGGCTGGCGGCGCCCTAGGCAACTGCCTAGTTTGCCTAGGCTCTCGGGCCGCCCCTGGGTGGTGGTATTGCTAGAAAAGGTCTGAGATTATAGTGGACCCCCAAATCGAATACTTGTCAATGTGATCCTGTTGCAAAAAGACTAATATGATGCTGGGGTGTGTTAACAGGCATGTTATATATAAGATGCAGGAGGTAATGTTTCTGCTGTACTCAGCAGTGGTGAGGCTCTAATGAGAGTGCTCTGTGTCCAATTCTGGATGCCACAGGTTAGGAAAGAGGAGGACAAAACTGGAAAGCATCCGGAGGAGAGAAACAAAAATGATAAAAGGTTTAGACGCTTTCACCTATTAGGAAAAGCTACAAAACTGGGCATTTTTAGTCTTGGGAAAAGAAGGTTGGGGGAAGGGAGGGAGCCTGCTAGTAAGCTGCCAATATATTCTGCAAAGAGGATAGTAACCAATTGGGTTCCAGGTCCATTGAAGATAGGACAAAAAGCTTCCCATGTGTGCCCCCTCCTCAGCTGCACCAAGTAGGCACCCCATCCCCTTCTCTCTCCCATTCACCCCCTGCTCCTGCACCCCCTTCCAGACCTCATAGCCCCATCCCCAGCCTGCTCTTGCACCCTGAGTCCTGCTCAGACCCTGTCCTCCGCACCCCCAGCCCACACCTGCATCTTACCTCTGGGCCAGAACCCAACCCCCCGTCCACACTTGCACCCTACCTCCTACCCAGATCCCACAGCCCCACCCCAGCCCACTCCCCAGCAGTCCCGCCTGTGCACTGAATCCCTTATTTTTGGCTCCATCCCAGAGGCTGGGGGGGGGGGGGGGGGCTCTGGAGTGGAGCTTGAGGCTAGTGAGGTGAATGTCCTTTTCTTTTCTGCTTTTCAGTTGGAGCCCACATCTGAGAGGGTTTTTTTCCTCCTCACTTGGGGTATGTCTACACTAGCCCCCTAGTTCGAACTAGGGTGGCAGTGTAGACATACCCTTAGTCCTCCACACTGCAGGGGGCCCTTCCAGTTCTATCACATTTCACACTATCACCCTTTTGCCTTCATTGTAAGTTTTCCTTGAGCGATGTCAGAGACACTAAAGCAGGGTGCTTTTTTTTCCTTGGTCTGTTTGATCTGGCTCACTCAGTCATTTTTTAAGAAAGCATAAGGGATAACTGGGATACTAGTGGACTAGGCACCTCCTAATTCAGTCAAAAGATTTGATTTCTGCCCAAAGACACTTACAGATTAATTTTTAACATGACACCAGGAGAACTTAATAAGACATTGCTAGAGGAGGACGTATGGGGCAGCATCAGTAAAACATCACATTGTCACAGAGATGGCCAGTGCACAATACGAGCAAGCAAAACATTTTTGTTTCCCTTGTACTTGCTATCTGGGGCTCCCAAAGTGCTTTACACCTAACTGAGTATGCCTGTGATGCTCCTCAGCTTCAGCCCAGTACGCTACAAAATTGGTGGCTGCTGACGAAGGGTGCGGTCACACAGCAGGGCTTTACGTGAAATCAGCTACACAAATTGAGCTCTGTCAATTGCATAGCTTATGTTGAAATAGCTTATTTCAAAATTGGGAGCATCTGCACAGCACTTAGTTTGAAGTAGAGCACTCTTCCTCCAACTTCCCTTATTCCTTGTACAATGAGGGTTACAGGAGTCCAAATAAGCAGTCCTCCAGCTTGATAAGATTTTGACACTATTTCGAAATACCTGCCTGCAGTGTAAATGTGGACTAAGTTACTTAGAAATAACACTAGTTATTTCCAACTAATGTTGCTGTGCAGACGTACCCCCAGGGAGTCCAACCACCACTCACCTGCATCACTGCAGTTCCCTGGTGTGAACACATAATGTCAGTACAGGAGGTGAGGGACGAGTGGGATTTTAACTCTCACACTTTCTGGGACAAAGCACACTGGAACCTCTGTAATCCGGCACCCTGGGGAACTAGACTATGTCAGATTTTGGAATGGTCCAGACCCTGGGTATTTATCCTAAGGAAGGGTGCTGGGGCTCAGGGTGCGAGGTCTGGGCGGGAGGGAAAAGGGGGGGGGATGCTTACCTGGTGCCATACCCGCTGTTATGGGTGCAGCAAGGGAAAAGTCTCCAGATCAGCACTTTGCTGTTCTGGCATTCCCCCAGCTGGAATGGGTTTCTCCTCTCCCTGCCAGTGTCTGAACCATGGGCATTCCCGGATCAGGGACACCTTGATTACGGAGGTTCAAATGTAATTGTAGCTTTTATTACAGACCTCTACATTCTTCTTGCGCTGGACGTGTATTGTCACGGGGTAAAATGTTCCAACGAGTCTAGGTTTTTTTGAAACTTAAGTCCCATTCACTGAACCATTAAGGGCCTGCTGTTTTTTCTGTTGAAGTGAATGGCAAAGCTGCCTTTACTGTAATGGGCACATGACTGAACCCTGCATTCCCCCGATGATGGTTGGCAAATTTAGGGTAAATGATCTCATGTAAGAGCCAAATGCCACACTCTGACCTGGAACTGTTCTTACTCTGATTACTATCATATGCTGAATAGGTTAATCATGGGCTTAATGACACCCTCCTTTTACACATCAGATGATTTATTTTGTGCGCGCTATAATGGCTTTATAAAGACAGGGATTATTATTGACTGTATTACCACATTAACCACGTTGATTCAAAACCAGAAATTAATTCATCATTGTTATTAAATGTGATTTTTTTGGATTGTTTTTAAAAGTATTTTTTGGATTCTGGAACTTTTAAAATTACTTTTTAATTCCATCCCCCACTGTAGAGTTTTGGAATGTATTACTCACTGTCTCACAGTTTTCGTTGGAAACCTGGGACTTTGTCTCTGCTCTCATGGACGGTACCCTATTTAGGAAGTAAAAAAGAATTGTAATCCCTGAAAGTTAAAAATAGCTAGATTAAATATTTTAATTATATATTGTTACAATTGAGTCAATGAGGAGGTTAGGTGCCAGACAAAATATTTCTTCCTGCTTTCTTGATTTCTTCTGCTATTTTCTGTTTAGTTTTATTCAATTATAAAAACTGATGTAAGGTTTCATTGCTTTTTCTGAAGGAGCTTTAGTGCATGTGATTGTTTAACGGAGAACTCCTTGGCCTCTGTGATAGAACAAGAAGCAATGGGCTTAAATTGCAGCAAGGGAGGTTTAGGTTGGACATTAGAAAAAACTTCCTGTCAGGGTGGTTAAACACTGGAATAAATTTGCCTGGGGAGGTTGTAGAATCTCCATCTGTGGACATTTAAGAGCAGGTTGGACAGACATTAGGGATGTAAGTAACTAGTCGACTATCCAATAAGCAAATGCTAATTGGATAGTCGACTCGACTAGTCGCTCCCTCCCCCCCCGCCTC